ATTTAAGTTTAATAACAAAATAATTTATTTTTTGTTTAATAAAATAGCATTTTATAAAGATTATAATTAAGTATTCTGTTAAAACTCAATGATTATCCTAATTATATTTTAGATTTTTTATATTTAAAATAAGATGTTTATCCTGTATTTGAATATATTTATCTGCAGTTAGTTACACGAATTCATATATGAAGCTTTAATAAGTTGTATTTACGCACAATTTACTTGCAATCTTGAGTTTTAAGTAATATGCATTAATAAGCAGTATTTTACGCATAAAAATTGGTTTTTAAGAATTTTTGTCAAATGTTTTATAATATAGTATAGATATGATTTAACATGCCATGCATAAATATAACATCGAATGCATTATGTTCTTTTGTTTGAAGGTGAATACATTAGGATAATCATTTTAAATATAAAAAATCTAAAATATAATTAAGATAATTATTCATTTTTTACAGAATACTTAATTATTATTATTTTTATAAAAAACTACATTATTAAACCTAAATTACATTACTTCATTACGTTAAATTCAATTATAAATTGAATTAAAGAAATTACACAAAACAAGAACTTTTAAATAGTTAGTTTGATACTAATATCAATATAGTTTTTTCAAATTTTTATGATATTTTATTCAAAAATAAAAACATTATCGTTTTCTCAAAACCACATAAAACTGAATCATATCGACATAGATAAAGAATAAAACAGAAACATTGAAATCGAGATGTGTCTCGATGCATTACACAAATACACTTCTAGTATTAAATAATATATTTTATCATTAAACACTTAAGTTTATTAATATGACCAATTTTAGTAAATATGACTGAAGTCAACATGTTTTTCACATGAAAGATCGTACACACAGATACATACACATATCTATGATATATGATCGTTATCTAAATGTATCCGTCTTAATAGTTTGAAATGGTCTTCATCAGTATCCAATTTAAATTACTGTTTATTGTAATCTAAGAGATCTGAATACATGTCGAATTTTTGTATTTATGTCAAGCTCTAACATTCTTGATCGAATATCTATAACTAGAAATGTAATCATTTTTTTTTATTAACTTGGATATCCAACCCATTATGCGAGTCGACTAATCCCAAGGAGACCATCTGCTTTGCAAATAGCCCGGAGTTACCGAATTTGAACCTCCGTGGCCACAAGGGGATTTTTGTTCCTCCTTGGATTTGAACCTGAGACCTCCTTGTACTTTTGACCTTTGGAGTCAAGCTCAAACCAATCAGGCACCACCCTTGTGGTTGAAATGTAATCATTTGTAATTGCAACAGAAAAATATCAGATTGTGATTATTTTTCCATGTACTAACAAATGTGCGTCATTTTTTCCCAGTAATTTGATGTTTGTTTGAAAAATACGAAGGGATTAAAGATCACTTCTTAATTCTTGGAGGGTAATATTGCTACCAAAAATGAAGGTTGAGTGATGCGTTTGATGAGCACTCGTGTGAAATTGACAAATCGTATGATCATCACAGTAACTAACGGAGATTAGTTGTAATATAATTTATGGCATTCGTGATTATAAACCCCATATAATATATTTGCTTGACTTAGACTTGTTATATAACCAATACAACATAGTAAGTGGTTGTTTGGAAGTTGTTGAATGGTTTAGTGCATAATGATTAAGTGATCAGAATGATTAAGAGACTCTCATGATATAGTACAAAATGAAATATAATTGTTTGGTAATTGTTTACAATGAAATTAGAACGCTTAATGGTTAAGGAAGTCCCAAGATATAAAATCATTCAGAGGGTTTTAGAACCATTAAGAGATATACTTTTTTTTGTCAAACAAAATTCACCTCTTAATGATTCAGAAGCTGCCTTTTAATAAAACTATTAATAGGTAAACAAATGCCCCCAATATTACATAGTATTTTAAGAACTCGTTAACCACTTAATATTACATAGTATTTCAAATAAATAACATTAAATAATAATTAATATTATTCATTATAACGTTCATCATAATATTCATCGTATATCTATATATATATATATATATATATCATATTATTAATCATAAATATTACATAAAATAAATAGTTCATAGTTCTCAAAATATTTAAGTTTCATAACATACCCCATTGGATATATTTTGTTTAATTTTTTTGATAATTTACTTTTAAAAAGCCAATTCTCAAAAAAAAAAAATACCACATAAAAATATTACGTTTTTTTATGTAATTCAAAAAAATATTACAAATTTTGGCAAAAATAAATAAATAAAATAAAACAAATTACATGAAAAAATAACGCACTTTAACTTGATTTTTATTTTGAGTAATATGTTTTCAGAACTTTCATTTTAATACTTAAAATATAAAGTTTTAAATATTTAAATACCCGATAACCGGTTGAAAACTAATATTAGATTAAAAAAGAAACCAACTTTAGATTAAAAAAAATTCATGTTACCAACCACGTCAGTAAATAATATTGAGTTAGATACCATCTCACTCGATATATCAACATGATAACGAGTTAATATTTTTCAACAAGTTATCATACTAATTTACCCGATAAAATAAAACATCATTAGGCCGGTTTTGACCTTTGTGGCGTCGAACCCAATTTCACTTTGAACTAACACAAAGTAGAAATTTCCAGATTCAAAATCTAAATTGACATTTTCCAATTCTGATCTCACAATGATTCAAACCCACAAAATATATCAACGAATTAACAATTCATCCTCAAGAACTAACGCAATTGTTTACCTAATCGATCATATTCGACTCTTGCGGTCAAAATTGCAATCTAATCATGAAACCCCAAATAACTAGAAAACCCAATTCAAATCCATCGAAGTATCATAATTCATTAAGTACATACACAAATATCAACAAATCCAAACAACAAAAACCAAAATCAATCAAATCCCCTAAAAATCTCTCAAGTCTCCGAAGTAATTCTTAGAGCTTTAATCTTAAATCGATACCTGGGAGCCCTAGGAATAGCCTGACTGGGTCCAAAACCAAACTGCCCCGTTCCACTCATCATCGGCGGACCGTCATCATAAACATACCCGACGAGCCGACCACAGCTATTGCAAATCATTTTAGTTCGTTTCCTCTGAATCCCCCAGTAATTAACGGTCTCAAAAAAGGGTTTGATCTTGTCTTCTTTCTCGAATCTGAACTTAGAGGAGTCGACGGCGGCGAACGAAAGAGTGCCTTTGTTGCCGGCCTCAAAGTAGAAATCGGGAGGGAAGAGATTAGCGGTGTGAAGGTTGAGATTGGTGCCGCATTCGTTACAGGTATAGATCGACGCCATTGATGAAATTGGAGGTTTGGGAGATTGGGGGATTTGGAGGGTATTTGAAGGCTGTAAGAAAGAAAGCGTCTTGTTTGACTTTTATTTGGGGAACGCGGGGAGACTTCCAAAATTTCTTGTTTCTAGAATTTCAATATTTCTACCAAACTTTTCAAAAGGTTGATTTTATATATCAAGTTTAGAGTAAATTACAGTTTTTAGCCCTGTGTTATGTTGATATTCTTGTTTTAGTCCCTCTACTTTTTATATTATAATTTTCTTCTTGAATGGTGCATTTTATTATGGAATTCGTTCATGTAACTGATGTCGTGCATCTTTTGTCTATTAAGTGGAGATATCTGTTCTTTACATAAGGGCATTTTTGTTTTTTGATAAAAACTGGTAAAAATATGATGGAGTATCTTTGAAAAATAACTTGAATTTTAAATTCTTGCAGAGAAGCAGATAATTGAAGTGTTGAGCAACGATATGGGAGAGGGGCGGGAGAGAGAGAGAAAGAGAGAGAAGCTATGGTACAAATTTTAGGTTTGTTATAACCCTAAAACGAGAAATGTTTCGTTCGTAGATTTGTTGAATTGGATTTCATTTCAATCTCATGTTTGGGTTTGGTTTAAACGAATGTCTGGAATTTAAATCCCATAAGCATTGGATTTAGAAATCCTGTAGGGATTGTTGGCATTTCATGGGATTGTAATAATGTTACAAAAGATGTTAAAATCATTCGCTTTATAATCTATATCTATATCTATACTATCTTATAAATGAGATTTGGTAAAAGTCTTAAAAACAAGTTTTGATGCATAAGGTACTATCTTTTTATGCATNATGCATAAGGTACTATCTTTTTATGCATTGAGTCTTAAAAGTCTTAAAAACAAGTTTTGATGCATAAAATACTACCTTTTTATGCATTGAGTCTTAAAAACAATAATTAATGCCTAATGTACAAGTTACTAATGCTACCTTCACACTCCTCTAATAGAAAATTATCTTCCCAAGATAAGCTTGTGAAGAAGATTATCTTCCCAAGAGAAGCTCTCATCGCTCCATACACTGTCATCGAGATGCTTCAGAAATTCGATTCAAAAATTGACGATTCATGCTCCCTTATGATGGTTACTTATTCAAGATCACCGTGTAATCTCTCTATTCACTCTCATCGATTCCCTCCTAAAGTGACGATGCGCTCTCGATCCATGCTTCAAATATGGCTAGGGTTCCAATCCAGGTAATATTTTTGTTTTCCATCTTCATTTGATTGGTTAGGGTTTTTGAGTTTTCTATGGGTTAGCACTCGAATTAATTGTTTTTGCGTGTTGATTCCTATCGAAATCTTCACTTTTATAGGTTAGGGTTCTTGAGTTTTCTATGGGTTTGTATGTAGTCGCCATACTTCCGGCCTTTTCATTCGCCTCCGCCGCTTGCGTTAGCCGCTCTTGGAACCTCGTTTGCGATCGCGTCCTTYGTCGCCCCAAACTCTCCTCCGCTTGTTCCTTCAATTTTTCTCTCCATGTAAGCCCTAATTTTTGTATCAATTGTAAATTATATTCGGAACCCTGCCATTCAACAATTTTCATTTTTATCTCCCAATTATCGTTAGGTTGCTGTAGAAGAAGTGTTTAACAAAGCACTATCGGAGCCAATTCGGCCTCATTTTGCCATTGCTTCTATCGGTCCTTAGACTTTGGAGCTTCATGCCATATTGGCATAGTTCACAGGTCCACTCTGAAAAAATGAATCTGCTCTCTTTTCATATTGTTACCCCCTCTCCCATTGTTTGTGATATGCAATTATGGGAGCATAAAATTACTAATGCAATAGCTATATGACAGTTGGTAATTGTTGTTTTAATCTTTCTTCTTGCAGACTTATCCAAACCCATTAGACTCCAGCCAGACCCTATGCAATGGTTAAGTAAGTTTTTCTGGTTTTTAAATCTTTTATTTTATAAACATCTTTTATTTGCTGGTGATTTTATGAAACTTTCCTTATCCATGTTTGGTTCTTTTGCGCTGTACATGTTTGATTCCATATATATGGCAGGTATTTTGAGAAGTATGTTTTCCGGAAGGAATCTATTTTAACATCCTTTTCAACTAAACGTGTGATTTATGATTTCCTGCATTCTTTGTGTGCTATTATATGTAGGTATGCAAGGTTACGATTGAGGGTAAATTTGATCGGCAAAAATCAATTGAGTGATGGTAAATTGGTAATATGACTTTTTTATATTCTTTATTGATCGATTTTATTTTTCATTTTTCTTATTGATCGATTTTATGAGGAATCACCTTTTTCTTTCTAACGTTTCTTTAATATATCACTTTTTTGATGCAATTTAATTATGAATTGCAATCAAACTGGCCGAATGAACTGTGTTTTATTGATCTCACAACATATCAAAAAAGACATATCTAACACCTCACTTTAACTCTCTTTTATAGCTGCTCATCTCCTTCCTTAACTCTTGTAACCACAAACTTACAGCCTCTGCTTCTTTACTTCACTTATTCAAAAGATTGATTTACCCTTTAATTGTTCCTCTCCTGGAATACATAATATGAGATCTGTTTGCATCACTTTTCTGGTTTAGCCTCGATTGAGGTTTTGCTATAGCCTCTCAAGTTCAGTATTTTCATTTAGAAGTGCCTTTTTCACAAGTGKCTGGATYTGTAAGACACCAAATAAAATAGTTWTAAATTTCAGTTGAATTYCCAGCATGGATTAAATTGTGTTCTCACATTTTTCTGTTGCTCATATGAAGAATCTGGGCCAATTCTGAAAAATAGTACATTAATTGTTTGTCAAGAATGAAATTTGAGCAAAGTTGATCTTAGTGCAACTGTGCAAATGATCACATGCATAATTAYAGGCACACACTTYGGATGTGATATTGTTGTTGTGTCACATACCTGTAGGATAGTTGGAAAGAGAGAAATCTTGCACCAATTCTTGAGAAGAAGGGTCCATGTTTCTTCATCTTTCATTTAATGCAGGAAAAACATTTTTTGTAGTTTTTTTTAGAAAGTCGATCTATGTTGCTATTATAAGGTGTTTATCTGTTATAGTTAATACAAAAGGGTCTATCTGGTTTCAGGTTTGTGTCTATTTTAGATGCTGCCTCCTTGAAACCGGATGCTGATAAATCTGAGGATATGTCTCAAGGAAGAGAAGTTGGTAAGGGGGTATTTGACTCTTCAACAGTCATGGTGACTTGGCCAAGTGAAGCTTCTATATCTTCTGGTAAACAGTCTACACCTGTTGATGCGGAGAATGTTGCTTCTGTTGACAAGAAGAATCCATCTGAAGCTTCAGCAAAGGCTTCATACCAGAGGAAAGTTAAGAAGTCAGGTCGAACTATATCTCAGGATACAGACTCTCCCATTGGTGATCAGTTGAATAAGAGAAGGGTGGATATATTTGCTTGTGAGGCACAAAATCCTACCTCTGATGCATGCGCTGCAACAACATCTGAGGGCTCAAAGATGCTTATCATCACATGCATTCCAGTTTACTTTGAAGTCTAAACTCGGTAAGAGTAAGTTAGGGTCTATTTGGTTTGGCTAATTTGGCCAATGTCTATAGTCTATGAAGCAGCAGCAATTCAAACATGTTTATCATAGCTATGTAGTCTAACATTTTCTACAGCTTGTTTTGCTGTAGAAACAGTCCCAAACTACTGCTTGTTTGTACCAAAACAGTCCCAAACTATTCCTGGTTTTGTTGTTTTCTTTGTGTTTTTCTAAGTAACATTTCTTTGGGTCTTATCACTGTAATTTCTTAGGAAAATGTTGACCTAGAAAGAAAGGGGAAAGTATTAGAGTTTAGAACAAATTACATGGAAATTGTACTCTCTAAATTTAACTCAAAATTTGTTTTATGTGAATAACTATGAGCAGATTGTCCGAGAATTGAAAAGGGAGAGGAGAAAACAGTCTAATCAAGAATCTGCCAGAAGGTCGAGATTAAGGAAACAAGTATGACGTATTTTTCATATTATGATATTATTCTCATGCAACATTTAAGACCTGATAAGCCCCATCTTATATCACCAATTTTAGTCCGAAAATGAAATAAATTTGATATTGAAAAATCTTGGTAGCATATGAATAGATGGTTGACTGCCAGGATGTTGATTCACAATGGAACCGAGTCCCCTCCTAATAATATTGTATTATGTACCTCTAATATTTAAAAAAAGTGTAGTTAGGAATAAAAACATGGGTTTCTTCTCTGCAATAAATCAACCAACCGAGGCAATTTTTATAGTCTAATTTTTAAAAAAATTTGCTATATCTATCTCCCTCGCATTCTTTATAGTCTAATCTTTATAATATGGACAACGAGTGTAGTTTGTGCAGTTTATAATTGTTTGGATTAGTGCAGTTTTTATAGTCTAACACAAAAAGGCAGCTTTGAAATTGGACACATGGCAGTTAAATGACAAAAGGATTTCTCCCCATTCATTTATATGGACCCCAAGTTCCAACAACAATGTTATTGTTGGTTAAAATTGTGAACTTACTATACCCCTTTCTTAACATTGAGAAACATCTAACATTCTGATCAAACCTTTGTAGTATATAGGCGTATATAGGTTGTATGTTGGATACAGGCGTATATAGCGTCATGATGATTGGTTTTTGGCTATTATGTATGTTAATTTGCTTGTGGGGATTCTATGTTTATATAGGAAGTTCAAGTTGGAAWGGATCCTGCTGGAGAGCTTCGATACCCATCTTACCCAAAGACCAAAGTAAAACGAAATATGGAAATTCCCATGAATTGGAGCCTTCCAGTGTTGTAACCACCTTTTTGATCATATTCGTTGGATTAAATCTATCTAAAGGTTGAAATTTGTTTTCGGGTTTCCACCGTTTTTGTTGGTTTCATTGAACCTCTCTGTATGGTTTCATTTGAACCTCTCTGTATTGTTCTATTATTTAATCATTTTTATCATATTTGTCGATGCAAATACAAATATTATGTAAAATAATTTCTTCTTTTAACGACTCATTAGTAATTAGGTTAGGTTAGGTTAGGTTGGTGTAAATATATTGGATTTTTAACTATCATATAATTTATC